ATGACCTATGGACTATGAGAATGCAATCTTATCTTGAAGGATTGGATGTATGGGAAAGCTGTGGAAGATGATTATATTGTTGATCCGCTACCTAAAAATCCCACCATAGTTCAAATGAAATTTCACAAAGAAAGAAAAATAAGGAAGACAAAAACTAAATCATGTCTGTTTGCTGGTATTTCACAAATGATCCTCACCAGAATTATGACACTAAAGTTACACAAAGAAATTTGGGATTATTTGAAATATCAATATGAAAGGGACGAGAAAATTGGAGGTATGAAACTTCTAAACTTGATAAGGGAATTTGAGATACAAAAGATATAAGAGTCTGAAAGACAATTAATGAATACTCAAACAAATTGTTGGGTATTACTAACAAAATAAAATTGTTAGGCAAGGAATTTTCTAATTCCAGACTAGTTGAGAAAATTCTGGTAACTGTGCTAGAGATATATGAAGTATCTATTGTTTCATTGGAAAATACAAAGGATTTGTCTAATATTACTTTGGCAGAAGTGTTACATGCTTTACAAGCGTAAGAGCAACGAAGATTGATGAGAATAAATCATGCTGCTAGTGAAGGTTCTTTACTATATCATGGTGAAGGTTTTCTCCAAGGCAAGAACAACAAAGGTACCAAATCACAAATCTTTTCTGTTTGTCCTTATTGTAAGAAAAATAATCACACACCTAACAAGTGTTGGTGGATGCCTGATGTGAAATGTCATAAATGTGGTCAATTGGGACATATAAAAAAGATATGCAAATCACAACCAGAGGAAGTTGTTCAAGTTATAGAGGATGAAGTAGAATAGGTACTTCTCCTTGCATCAACATGCTCTACAATCAACAAATCCACAGGTTGGCTTATAGACAGTGATTATACAAACCACATGACTCATGATCAGGAATTTTTCAAAGAGCTTAACGAATAACATATTTCTAAAGTGAGAATCGGTAATGGAGAACAAATGGATGTGAAAAGTACAGTAAAAATTGCAGTTAAAAGTCATTCCGGTATCAAACTAATTTTTGATATTTTATATGTTCCTGATATTAATCATAATTTGTTAAGTGTTGCTCAATTATTAGAGAAAAATTATAAGGTGTCTTTTGAACACAAACTTTGTGTGATTAAAGATACAAATAACTTTGAAATATTCAAAATTCACATGAAAGGAAAAAAGTTCACTTTAGATTTGATGAAAGAAGAGTTGATTACAAACGAAAAGTCAAAGAAAAAGCATGAAAAATATTTCTTGAAGGAACTTAATGTTAAGGAGGAAAATAAAGATGTAGATAAAGAAACTATTTACAACATTCATCAAAGAGTCAACGATACTACCATGAAGTTTGAAAGAAACAAAGGAAATAAAGTTGATAAAGGAAGAAATACTTTGATGAAGAAAGTGAAGTTGAATGAAGATGTGATCTCGTACAAGAAGGAAGATGACAAGAAATACAAACAAAAAAAGATGAAAAATTCTAAGCAAAATAAAAGAAAGAATATCAAATTCAAATAAATAGATATTAAAGTAAGGAGAAATATTGAGAATATTACTTTATTATCTTTTATTTAAATTAGGTATTAAAAGATTTTATTATCTTTTAAGAGAAAAGAAGATAAAAAGATATTATATTATTATTTAGATTTAGGCAATTATGATTGAGATATTATTAATATTTGATGTTTTGTAATATTTTTACTTTATATATACATAGAGTACATGAATAAAATATATACACATGATATATCAGAAATACATATAAATAAAATCCTAAAAAATCACATTAAAAATTCCAAATAAATTTCTTTCTCTTTTTCACTCTCACGCTCGCATACCTCACTCGTCCTGCGTTTTGTTCTTTTTCGATAAACCCTCTCTCTACCTCACTCATGCTCAGCATGATTTCTCTCCCTCTCCTCTTCACTCACGCTCACATAATGTGTTTAGTTGTTCTTCTTCTTCACACCTCACGCCTCACACTGACCATCGCATGTCTCACACCTTACAAATTTGACACGCTAATATTAGAGCAAATGCTTTTGCTACAGGGTTTATACTTTTATCTCTTGTATTTTCTTATTGCAATATGAAAATTGTGTTTTCCTCCTATCACCAATTTAGCTTTTATTTCTTTGAAATGAATGCTTATACTTGCTTCATATGGCTAACCTCGGTTTAGGGTTTTCAAAATGGTTCAAATCCGAATACTAAAACCCTTTCATCTCATTAAATTGTCATTTTATACCTGATAATAATTATGAATATATACCTCTTTTAGTTATTATAGTGCACTTGGTAATAGTTTCAACAAAATCAGGGGGTGCACCTGAACATACATACACACATACACACACACACACATATATATATATATATATATATATATATATATATATATATATATATATATATATATATATATATATATATATATAGAGGTCCATCACTGATTAGAACAAGACTATCTGATTGGAATATTCTTGAATGGATTGAAAGAAGACATTAAAGTTAAAGTTAAGCTATATGATCCTACCAATCTAGTGGAATTGGTGATGAAAGCTTAGATGGTTGAAGATAAAATCATAATTATGTTCAAAGGAGGGGGAATAACAAAGAATAAGGGAAGCACGATTATAGGATAAATTGGCTGACTAGAAGCTACTCACGAGATGGAGGTAATCAATTGCACACCATGGGTAAAGGAAAAGGAGACACAACTGAGATAACTAGTCTTACTAATAAGAATCAGGGGATCAAATGCAACCATGGAACTACTTTCAAAAAATTATCTAATGAAGAAATGTAGTATAAGATCAGGAAAATATTGTGTTTTAGATGTGATGAGAAATTTGGCCCTAACCATATGTGTAGAAACAAACAATTACACATACTATTAATAACAGAAGAAGATATAACAGATTTTGATGAAATCTTGGATGATAAGTAGGGCACGAAAGAGGGAGATGCAGGAGCAAGAGTTATGCATTTATACATGTTTACTGTGGCAAGACTCACTATGATGAAATCATGGATGGTTTTTGGGCAGAATAAGAGATATGAAGGTTGTGGTCTTCTTAGATTGTGGGGCATCGCATAATTTCATCTCTAGATGGGCGCAAGGTGCAATGTCAAGGGAAATGTACAAGGTTTGTTTTGGAGTTACAAAGGTTAAACATTCAACAAGAATTCTTTACTTTTTAAATAGGAGGGACGAATGTGGTTTTCAGATTAGAATGGTTAGCAAGTTTAGGAGAAGTCAAGCCCGATTTTGGAAAACTAAGGTTAACCATAGGAATGGGTTAATTACAACATATGGTGATTGGTGACCTAAAATTATCTAGAACTGCATATTCCTTAACAAGATTGATGAATGAATTACAGAAAGATGATACATGGTATCTAGTGGATCTGGTGCACAAAAAGGAAGAAGTAAGTTATGCTCTAGTGCCTTTGGAAGTGGTAAACGTTTTGGAATAAAATACATAGGGTTTTTAGGACTTGGAAGGATTACCGCCTAGCCGAAAATAAGATCACGCTATACATCTTAAGGAGGGAGTTTCCATTCCAAATCTTAGACCTTACAAATATTCATTACTAGAAAAACGGCATTGAAAATTTGGTTCATGATATGTTGAAAGCTTGAATCATTCGACCCAGAATTAGCCCTTATTCTAGTCCTATTATTTTGATGTGGAAAAAAGATGGTGGATGGCGGCTTTGCATGGATTACAAGGCACTCAATAAAATAACCATTCCTAACAAATTCCCAATAAAGTCTGTCACAATAGGGATCATGATGGGACAATGAAAAGTAAAGAAAGTTAGAAGAATATAGAGTCATCACTATAGTTTAGTAAGAAAAAATATACAAAAAACCCATATTAGAAAATGGCATTCCAAACCAGATTTGGATCCCGAGTCGATTACATGCAAAGAAAGTATTAACACCCTTAGAACGGTTGCATATAGTTGAATATGCAAAGCAAATGTCATAAAAAAATATTTATTTTCCCTAAATATCGGATAAAGAAAGAAAGAAAAAGAAATTTTTCTTTTTGAAAATTTTTTATTTGAGTCCAACAAAGATTGACCTTACTCCTAATGAAAAATAAGGTAATTCTTTCTATAAAATGTTTGATGTGTTGGATTAATATTTTAAAAAAATTTGTTGTTTTTGAAACAGATTTTTATATATATTTTTGTAAAGTTGCAAAAATGTAAAAGTGGCCAGCCATACTAGATACATTTACGAAGAAAAAAAATATCGAATAAGTATAAGACAATATGTACGATCATACATATACCTTGAAATAATTTTATTTTAATTAATTAGGCATGTCCACATTGAAAAAAAAATAAAAATCAAATAGATATAAGACAATACGAACTATCATATATATGTTTACATTAATTTTATTTTAATTAATTAGGCATGTCCATACTCGTGTTTCACAAATTTTATTAAGATTTGTAAATGAGTACTAAATACAAAATAATGTGGATGGTCTCACATATATCCCTCATTCTTAAATGTTGAAAACCTAGTTACATTGGAAGATTAGTCTAAGGGAGAAAAAATATGAAAAACAGAAAAAGTTTAGATCTTATTTAGGTGATGCGACTGTTATTTAGTAATTAGGAAAAGAACTTAACGATATATACACAAAAGGTCTAATTGATTTTGTCAATATGCTAGGATCACTGATATCAACAACTTCACACACATCATAGATATTGTCAAATTAATACAAATGAAACAATGTCCATAAACAACTTCATTGGCTAGCAATATGATCAAACATTGGCATCCAACAATATTAAACCAATATAACACGCAATTATTAATCCAATTCATTGCAATAGGCGCGTACAAAATTCCAATCAGACAATAAGATGTTTGGCTTAGGGTAAAATCATGATATACAACAGAGCAAGATTAGACAACCTCCAAGAAAAATCAATCCTCAACCTAGTGTTGAATCATAAACCATGGGTTGGTTTGAGTGGCATGGTGGGGGAGAGATGATGCTTGGCGCAATAATATATTTAAGGTTTTAGCGCCTTAGTGGGTACAAAGGCCGGTGGCGAGTGAGGGGCTCTACGGGTTTACATGTGGGGTCTCGTTGGAGATTGAAGAAGAGTGTGGGGTGGCTGCTGATGTTGAGGGTGAGCGGCACGACAAAGATCAGTGGTGGCTGGTCGCGCGGTGGGTGGATTTAGAGGTTTGGTGAAACGATGGAGGTTTGACTGGTGATGAGAGTGGAGATGGGGGGTAGCTTGTAATGTGGAGAGTGGCTTGACTTTTGCGTGCAGGGAGAGTGCGGGGAGGAATGTGAGTGGGGTAGGAATAGGTTTATGGGTTGGAGATGAGGTTCATGGATGCTGGAGATGAAAATGAGGGTGTGCCACCATGTGTAGGGAAAATAAGAGTGAGTAAAGTTGACTGCGGTGAGAGTGAAGGTGTGGAGAGTAAAACAGTGGGATGACCCATGTGTGGGAAAATAAAATTTTATATGGGTAGAACCAAAATTAATAGTGTAAAACTTAATTATAATGTATTAATAATTTAACATCAACATAGAAATAAAAATGCAAAAAATAAATAAAAATTAAAGAATAAAAACTAAAGAGAAGAGGAGTTGAGAATATCTTAATATCCTTTTTCACTTGTATCATGTTACTTCTCCTTTTTTTTATGTGTGTTTTGTCTTGCTTTGTATTTCTTTTTATAGAGAGGACGAATGGGAAAGGAAGAATAATATTTGGAGGAAAACGTGGGAAAGTGGGTAATGGGCCCGGAGAAATTTAAGGAAAAGGGAGAATATTTAGAGGAAATGGGGTATGAGTGTTTCTCATCCTCTTTTTCTCTTTTTTTTTTACAATAACAATACTGGTAGAAAAAAATTGATAACATTCATAATCATTTCATTTGTCAAATATAAGAAGGTGAATAAACATTGTTTAAACTCAGGGTTCTGTTTCAAGAAACAATCTTGTTTTTGGTTCTGTTGAATATAGAAGAAATAGAGTTTGAGATTAATCTCCCTTGTGTATAAATCACACATAGGGTAGTTTATTTATAATAGAGAGATACAACTAAAAGAGTAACTAAAAGTAACAGAATAAACAGAAGATATTATTTGATATTGTGGTTAACAATATCTAACAATATCTTAACAATATCAAATAATATCTAAACAATATCTAACACTCCCCCTCAAGCGGGAGCATACAAATCGTATGTGCCAAGCTTGTTACAAATATAATCAATTCTAGGACCCCGTAAAGATTTAGTAAAAATATCTGCTAACTGATCACTTGAGTTAACAAACTCAGTCTTGATGTCTCCAGACATAATCTTTTCTCAAATGAAATGACAGTCAATCTCAATGTGTTTGGTCCTCTCATGAAAGACAGGATTAGAACTAATATGAAGAGTAGCCTGATTGTTACACACAAGTGACATTTGAGTGACATCTCCAAATTGTAACTCTCTAAGCAATTGCTTGAGCCAAACAAGTTCACAGGCAGTTGAGGTCATAGCTCTATATTCTGCTTCTGCACTAGATCTTGCCACAACACTCTGTTTCTTACTTTTCCATGAGACCAAGTTACCACCAATGGAGACACAATATCCAGACGTAGATATTCTATCCGAAGGAGATCCTGCCCAATCAGCATCTGAGTAGCAAACAACTCTTGTATGGTTTATTAGAATCATATAACAATCCTTTTCCAGGAGACCCTTTAATATACTTTAAGATACGAATGACTGCATTCTAATCATCTTAACACGGGGAATTAAGAAATTGACTTACCACACTGACTGCAAAGGAAATGTCAGGACGAGTTACTGTAAGATAATTCAATTTTTCAACCAATCTTCTATACTGCTCAGGATCAGGTATAAGCTCCCCCTGATTTGGTAGAAATTTAGTATTGGGATCCATGGGTGTATCAACAGACTCTGAATTCATCAACCCAGTTTCCTTCAAAATATCCATGACATACTTCCTCTAAGATATAACAATACCATCATTGGATTGTGCCACCTCAATACCCAAGAAATATCTAAGTTTGTCAAGATTTTTGGTCTGAAAATGGTGACAGAGATGTTGTTTCAACTGAGAGATGCCATGGTTGTCACTACTTGTAAGAACGATGTCATCAACATATACTATCAAGTAAACACATCCAGTACTTGAGTGTCGATAAAAGGCAGAGTGATCTGCTTCACACCGAGTCATACTAAATTGTTAAACAACCTTGCTAAACTTTCCAAACCAGGCCCTAGGAGACTATTTTAGGCCATATAGGGATTTGTGAAGACGACATACCATCCCAGAAGACTCCCCCTGAGCAACAAACCCAGGAGGTTGCTCCATATAGATTTCTTCTTGCAAATCACCATTGAGGAAAACATTTTTAACATCTAGTTGATAAAAAGACCATTGTTGAAGAGCGGCCATGGCGATAAATAAACAAACATAAGTCATCTTTGCCACGGGGAAAAAGGTATCTCCATAATCCAACCCAAAAATTTGAGTATAACCTTTGGCCACAAGACGAGATTTGAGGCGATCAATAGTACCATCAGGTCCAACTTTGATAGCAAACACCCACCTGCAACCAACAACAGATTTCCCAGATGGTAACGAGACCAATTCCCAAGTTCCACTATTATGAAGAACACTTAGTTCATCTAACATGACCTAACGCCAACACAGGATGGGCTAAAGCTTCACGGACAATTTTTTGGAATGGTCACAGAAGAAAGAGAGGAAAGACATGTATAAAGGGCGGAGGCGGCGGAGGCGATAGTGACAGCGGCGTGAACCAGTACACTAGGTAAGTTCCCAGGAAAGAGAGGTGGGTCACTAATGGACACATTTAAATACCAAGTCTTTTCTTGTCAGAACCTTCCTAGATATGCAATTTCACACTACCAAATAATATCTAGTAACAAAAATAACTTTTTTTTGATGTGGATCAGTTTAACTGACAGTGATAGCGGCGGCGGCGGCTCCAACAGTGGTCAAAGGCGAAAAAAAATTTCAAAATAACCTTAAGCTCTGATACCATGTTGAATATAGAAGAAATAGAGTTTGAGATTAATCTCCCTTGTGTATAAATCACACATAGGGTAGTCTATTTATAATAGAGAGATACAACCAAAAGAGTAACTGAAAGTAACAGAATAAATAGAAGATATTGTTTGATATTGTGGTTAACAATATCTAACAATATTTTAACAATATCAAATAATATATAAACAATATCTAACAGGTTCAAATGGGGTTCAAATGAATTTCCTATAATTAATTAATGCAGGGTTGACTATTTGGCTCTAGGTTATATATACTTTCACTACACAAGAAAAAATTCCTTTATCATTTTCAAGTCTTGCTAACATGCAATCACATCAAAGAATCAATCAATACCAGTTATCATCATAAAGTGTTGACACTCAATTTGAATTATTTGTAGTACTCTACTCACTGTGTTTTGGCTAGCTTCTCCAATTCAGTTAATTCCTAATTCTCCTCATCAATTTCTTTTTCACTATCATACTGATCATCCCAAAATAACTTTTTATTGGAAACAATCAAAATGATTTTTTTAAGTTCCAGATTTGAATTAGACAATAAGCAATAATTTCATAAATGACTCTAATAAAAATTGTACGGGAAAGCAAATAAATTTAATCACATCAAATTAAGAACATTAACCAACTTAAGTACCAGATGTCAATTCAAAACATTAAAAATAAAACAAATTAAAATAAACAACTTTAAAACATCAAATTAACAAAACAAATAACTTAAACACCCCAAATTAAAAAAAACTTAAACTTAAATTAAATTGCCTCCCTCTTATTCTTCTTCACTTGATGATTCTTCTTCTTCTTGTGATGTTTCCTCCTCCTCCTCTTGTGCTTCAGCTGCACCTTCACCCAATCCCTGAAAATTTGGACTATCCCCAGGCCATTAAAGTAAGACATCAAATTCTTGTGGAGACGTCCACTGCATACCTGGAGCAATTTGCAAAGACAGATTATAAAAATTTGTATTAATGCTACATGGACCCTTGTGGGTTGCTGACTGTTGTAATGTTAAGTGCTCCATATACTGCATCATTCTTTGAAAATCTTGTTGTTGTTGAGGTGGTGGAGGTGGTTGTAGGGCTTGGCGTGGTTGGCGGTGCTGCTGTGGCACTGGTTGTGCTGCTCCCTCTGCAGGATTACACAGTTATGCTCTATGAATCTTCTATTGATGGGCAGGCGGATGTTCATCGAAGGATTGACATCTACCCCATGTGCTGCACAGAGAGTTGTGATGAGGGAAGGAAATCCAAGAGCCTTGGCTTGCTCTGTTCCTCGCCTGCTTTCTAACACTACAAACTGATATATTTCTTCAGAGATTATTGCGGTGACATCTATCATGATTTCCTTAAGAATGCACTTAATAATGTGGCATCTTGGCATGTTTAGATCTAAACTGTGCTTGATGGGAACTATATTAGCCAGCAGGAATGAAGTCCAAATCTGTGTCAAGGTAGTCATGTTGGCCCTCAATATCCTTAATGCTTTCCCAGCCTGATTAGCTTCAAAAGTTCTCCCAAGTATACACAGGGCCCTTGCTGTGTCAACATCTCCAAACCTTGTTGCAGATAGGCGCCTTTTGTTCCGTATAGTTTGGTATGTGTAGATGTGACTTTCTTCCAAGTGAAGCGGGTTGCCCAACAGATTGTTTATTGCATCTCTGTCATATGAGACCCAGTGGCCTCTCACTTTCGAACGAGACCGGAATGACTCTCCTTCCACAAGCCAAACATTTGCATAGAATTCTTTGACCACTTCTGGATCATATTTGGGCATTGGGAGTGCTAGTTGCCTCCAATTTCTGTATGTGATTTCATTATTAAACTCATGAAATTCTCCTTTATTCAGCTCCACTCTCCTTTCAGGAATGAAGGTTTAGTTGCTGATTCTCTCAAATATGGCTTGCCTATTACCATATCTGAATATGCTTCTGTCCACCTGAATGTCTTTAGGCTCATTTCTGGGTTTCTTCCTAGCAGTTCTGGATGATGAAACACCCTGTGATTCTCTTTGTGGTACCATTTGTAATCATAGTATGCATTTTGGTTTATGTTTAGAGGTTATTTTTAACAAAACATACCATAGTTCTCATTGCAACATTTCATCAAACACTTGATATGCATCTAATCATGGAAGCCTTATAACTCAATTTCCTAATATGTATGCCTTTCCACTATCATGGTGAACCAAACAATATACAATTACATGTTTTATATCACTTAGAAAGCAATTCATTCATTTTGAGGCATTTCATCAAACACTTGGTATGCAGTAGAAAATTCAACACCTATATATGCATTCTAACATTCAAATCCAGCTGCAATCATGATGCATCACTCAAGAATCAGACAAATCATAAACAAAAGGGTTCAAATCTCACCTTAA